CTTCCTTCCTTCCTTCCTTCCTTCCTTCCTTCCTTCCGCTGTGGGGCATATAAACTCCACATACAAATGAATGAAAGCTGCCCATATTTATTTTCTTTGATCTTGAACATCTCCCATTAGCTCTAGTTACACTTTGATATTTAAATTAGCTGGATCCTGATGGGAGGATGCATTTGGTTTCCCAGGGAAGCTCCAATTGCTGAGATGAATTTACTCAGTTCAGTTCTGGGCCTATCACTCCAATGCAGCTGTACAGTTTCTCTCTCTCTCTCTCTCTCTCTCTCTCACACACACACACACACACACTCACACACACACACACACACATTGAGAGAGAAAGAGAGAGAGAGAGAGAGAGATTAGCAAAATCCATATCCTACAACCTGCCTGTGAAACTGCTCATTTAATTGAATTTTGTCTGACTATACAGAGCTTAGCAAACACACCACTGAATAGTTAGAAAAAGACGACACTGAATTTTTACCTGGAACTGAGGAGGAGAAGTGGGAAACAAAGATAATCTGGGCTTAAACTGGAGCATTTTGGACTGGCTTGTAGCATCCTGAACTTTTGGTGCTGAGGAATAAGGGGATACCCAGGGAGGTGGCAGGTTTTCCCCTGACAGTGACATTCAATCCAGCTGCAGAGAATGTCTTAAATCTGCTGATGGCTTGCTCCATGTCATTGTCCTCAGCCAACCTGGGGGATGTGACCTGCATCCATGAAAGGGGCTACCCTTTGTCCCCTCACCTCCATATTACTACTTCCTGTTGCTCTAGTATTTTTGACAGTAAGGCATTTTTGCCTGTCTCCATTGATAAACCAATACAAATGACAATTAATGGGCAAAGGGCTTTTTCAGCCCCTCTGATCTGATTAAGAGCAGAGGTTCTGGCTGAGTTTGCTACCTGGATGTTTTAACTTCTTTCTTTCAGTAGGACATGTATCAGAAGAAAGCAGAAATGCATAGAGAGAGAAGACTGCCAAAACCTCTTTTTTGGGGATGAGGAATGATGAAGAGCCTAGGTCTAGGAAAAATGAATGGTGGTACTCTAAATTCCCTTCCTTTCTATATTTCTGCAACAGTTGCCTCTTCCTGATCCAAGACTACTTAAATAACCACCAAACCACCAAACCAAAAACTCCCCAACCACATTCTTTGATGCAGTCCTCCATTGAAAAAGAGTTCAACAAATAAGAATGTAAGCCAGCAGTTCTTTCATCTATGTTTGTCTTTCTCTTTCCAGGTGCCTTCCTCATCCCTTACATCCTCTTCCTCATCATCGCAGGAATGCCTTTGTTTTATATGGAACTTGCTTTAGGGCAGTATAATAGAGAAGGGGCTGCCACGGTATGGAAAATCTGTCCATTGTTTAAAGGTAAATCCTAATTTTTCAACCTATCTCTTGGATGGTCTTGGGTACTGAGGATGTTTCAGCTGTCACTCAGTGGCCCTGTCAGGGTACATGGAGTTCTGAGCATTTATTTAGGTATCCAGACAGACAGACAGACAGACAGACATACAGACAGACAATTTCTATGGCCACCCATTTCAGAGCAATGACTCAAGTAGCATACAAGAGGTTAAAACCAAGCCAGGCCACAATAAAATTGAACAATCAGTGATCCACATAACCAAAGTCTGGGTCAAGAAAAATCATTCTCAATTTACTGTGAAATGCAGCACTGAAACCAATCCACCAACCAGCCAGCAGACTTATCTACCATCTTGGCTCATACCTTTGAGGGAACATCAATACACCAAACAATCAACCGAGCTCATCCAACATCCGAGCTCATACCCCTGAGGGAACAGCCAGATTTTAACTTACAAAAGGCTGGATGGATCTGGAACTCTGGAGTAAAGAAGTTCTCTGGAGATCCCCAATTTGTTCCGCTACTCACTGTTTATATGTTTATATGTCCACTCCTTTTTCCTCTTCTCCACCTTACTCTTTGGAAGAAGATGAGAATAGGTGCGTAGACCTCTGCCCCCTAGTCAGCTATGAAAGGCATATTGAGCAATGTGGAAAAAAATCAATCTTTCATTGAGTAAGTTTGTGTCCTGATTGCATCATAGATACATCCCTGTAATTTTCCGGGGACAACCTCAACATGGCTTGTCACTGCTTCCTTTTGGGATGGTTTTAGACTCCCAACTTAGCCTGGCAGTTTCTCATCTAGGTGCTAACCAAATCTGACCCTGTTGGACTTCTCAAGATCTCCTAGGATCATCTGGGTGCTGTCACCTAGCTAGCTGATCAACGCCGAGCCTCGTATTCATGTGTATGGTGTTATGTGAATTTGCACCTCCAAATCTCCAACTCAATAGTTTATGTCATTGTGGTTTTCAAGGCTAACCGAATTGGCTAATTTTAGTTTGATTTCTAATTCAGTCTTATTTTTTTCTGCTCAAGTAAAGTGGTATCCATGGGGAGGGGGGAAGGGAAGTCAAAACTGGCAAGGCGGTGATGGAATACTGTGTCATCCTGATGCTCAATCCAAACATCTCACTGATTTTGACACCCACCACCACAACCCATCCTGTAGGTGCTGCTGAAAAAAGTTTCTAAGTGGATTCAGGAAACAACCATGAAATACCACAATACTGGTTTTAAATGCTAATGTGTGAAATCTGGGACTTGGTGGTAAAGATAATAGTCATCATATAATTTCCCATACTAAATAGCAGATTATGTCCAAAATAATAGGTTTATTAAATTAAAAGTTGACATTGGATGCATTGCTGAATAATTCACACCAAAAGTGTTATCTAAGGCTGTTTGTACACACTTACTCTGATCTATATAGGGACAACTATTAATAATTTAGCACTTATTAATTGCCCTTGGTTGAATATTGTGAAAAAGTCTACCTTCGCGGTCCCAGTTTACCCCTTTTGTTTTATTAAATTACTATTCTTGCTTCTATTTTGTGTTCATGTTTGTTTTCTTTTTAATAAAGATGCCTCACAGGTTTGGCCCTGGCACTATAGGACAAATGTAAACTAAAACAGCAGTTGAACCAATTCTTGAGATTTGTAGAAACTTTGGGAATACTTACACAAATTTATAACAGATTTTATTTAAAAATTAGTTGAATTGTTTCCTGATCAGAATCTGTTAATTTCTTTCTCATGAGCTGTTTGCTCATTTATGGAGATTCCTACCCCACCTTTTAAGACAAGTCTGGGTGACAAAAATACAGTAGCAGCAATGGAATAAATAACTTAAAAAATAAACAAACTGACAACTAATATGATAAAAACTAAAACCTATGGGAGAGCAGTAGAGAAGGAACAGATTAGAAGTCCGGGGGGAAAAAAAGTAGTTGGCCCTAATGGGAAATCAAGCTTCAATCCTTGGATCTTCAGGTAGTTCTGGAAAAATACTTGCCTTAAACCCAAGAAAGTTGCTGGTAAATCAATATCCAAAATTCTAGACTAGATGGATTAATAATTTATTCAGCATAAGATAAATGTCCTACAGCCTGCCATTCTCAGAAGCTTCCTTTTTTTTTTTTTTGGTATAATACTCAGTCTGCAGATACAAGAAAAGACCTCAGCTTAGTTGAGTTTAGTTGAGGCCACCTTTATTTCTTCCTTTTCTTTTTGTTCTGATAAAATTAGTGCATTCCAAACACTTAAGCATTTGACATTGCTGACTTCTCTCTTGGTGTGTCCCCCTCCCAAATTTCCTCCCCTACAAAAGAGCCTTCTGCTTTCCTTCTCACATTTTGGATTCTTTGAAAATTCTCTTGGTGGTATCTCTGAGCTTGTTTTATTGCAGGATGATAGAAAGCATGATTTTATTTTCGTTTCACATCTCTCGATCATTTCGTAGGCTTGCTTATTTTCTATGCTTCCCAGTTGAAAAAAGTATGCTGACCACCCACCCAGTGGTGGCTTCCCTTGAGACTGAATTGAAGTGTGGGAAACCAGAGAGGTAGAAGTCCACCAGCCAGATGACTGTACAATGAAAGAGCATTCACACATACACACTCTTTGGCCACCTTCTAATTAAAGTAAGGGCTCCTCCATGTCTGCCCCTTATGAGAATATCACCAAATTTTTCTTCTGCTTAAAAAAAGAAAAGAAAAGGGAAAGCCATTTGCTTTCCATGAAATTTAATAAAATGGTTGTAAATGGATGTAGAAGAAAGCTTTGGCCCAAGTCTTCTTTGACGAAGATGTAGCTGGTTAACTGATCCAATCTTTATGGCCCAAACCTACCTACTTAGAATGCCAGGTTCTTGACTCTTCCACATTAACCAACACCCTACAACAATGATCCTGTTCCTTATACCAAACTGTAATAACTTTGTGTCAGTTTTGTGCCTTGTGCCAGAGAGCAGTGATACTTCTTTCTAACCTTCATGAATGAGATGATCCCAATGTAATGCCAACTTCATGTGTAATCTGTTTTTCCTTTCAGGTGTGGGCTATGCTGTGATCCTCATAGCACTATACGTTGGTTTCTACTACAATGTTATTATTGCCTGGTCTCTGTATTACCTGTTTGCCTCCTTCTCTCTGGGGGAGCTTCCCTGGACTCATTGCAGTAATCCCTGGAATACCCCCAACTGCACAGACCCTAAAGTCAATACCTCCGTATTTGTCAATGTTAGCTCCAAGCTCAAGAATACTCCTGCTGCTGAATTTTACGAGTAAGTGTGGGGCTTCTCACCTGCTATCATTCCTGGATCTGTTTCAGCATTTCCCTTTTGGGTGTGTATATTTGCAGAGGCTGTGTTTTCTAGCAGGAAGACGTTAGTTCTTTTCTGGAGAATAACTATAAGATCCCTGGTAGCTTAGATGAGGAGCTCATTTAGTCTAGTCATCTGTTGATTGTGGTCAACCAGCTATTTCTGGGAAGACTTGAAGTTGCCCTTCTAGCTTGTTGCTGCCCAATCAGAGAGATTCTTCAGCACACTTCCAGTGAATTTGGAAATCCATACCATTATGGTTAGTTACCAGCTGAGGTGTGGAATACTATTGAAGTTTGGAATACTAATCGGAGTGGAACCAAAATGATCCCTCTGAGAAATGAGACCATGATACCAAAATACTTGAAATCAGTAGAGAGAGATTGACCAGAATACCCCTCTCACAAAAACCCTTTTAAGAACCACAGGAAAGGTTTATATATTGTACATTGAAAGTTGAGGGTCCATTTGTGATTGTGTCTGTTTCCTCATCCCACCAAACCTCCAAGCCATCCAAACTTCAGAAGACATCATCCTTTCTTCCTTTTCATCTTCTTGTCAAAATAAGATGATACAATATAGTTTGGGATATTGGTTGCTTAGAGGAGTGAGCAGTTGCTGCTCCTATCTAATCAAATTTTATTCATTCATTCATTCATTCATTCATTCATTCATTCATTCATTCATTCATTCATTCATTCATTTTATATTTTACCTTTCCTCCAGGAGCTCAAGGAAGTATTCAAAGCATCCCCTCTCCAGTTTGAGAAATTTCTGAGAAGAGTGTCTGAAGAATTCCCCTTTCTCTTATATATATATATATATATTTAAAATTAAACTAGGTCTTTCATAGAGGCTTCAAAAGCAATAGGAAAAGTATTACAAAAATGCCTACGAGATGTTCCATATAGTCTGACAACGCCATAACCATCATCAAGGTGCTCCTGAAAGTTTATGGATTTGGGGTACAGAGCTCTCTTTCCAGTGTCATGACCATGGCTAAAATATTCTGATGATGCCTATTAGGGTCATCCCAACACACTTATGAGATTTCCTCAACTGGAACCATGTCTCATTCCAAATGAGACACATGCATTTTTTTTGTTCTTTGTTCTTTCTGTAACCATTGGTACCACAGTCAGGGAAGGGTTGATCCTGCATTTTTGAGATCCAGTGTCAGTGTTTCAGCTTTGTAATTGTTGGGTGTCTTCCAGTCTTTTATCAAGTAGTCCAGAACACTGTACAATGCAAAACAGCAAGTTTCTGCCTACTGAAAATATGAAGCATGAATAAGTAGGTGTTTATTATTTTATCTAGTTAGCAATTATAGGAGGGAAGGTAGAATAGAAGTGGAATGTTTCCTCTTCTTCCCTCTGCAATTGTAATAAAACATCAATAGAAGATTGAAATCGGAACAGAATGAGACGGTTACTTCTTATCTACCATCACAGAAAGTTGGATTGATTTGCTTCTTTTTTCTTTTTTTCTTTTCTGTTAATAAGGTCTAATTGGTTTAATTATATGTTCTGTTCTTTGAATTAATTCTCTTTTCATTAAAAAAGAAAAGAAAAGAAACACTTAACTTTCACGACTTTTAGCCTGCTGTCAGCTCACCACTTTTGGCCCTTTGTTTACTCAGCATTTCAATTACTATCATATATGATCATGTAAATGATCAAAGCAAAAAAACCCCGTGCAATTAAAAATACCTGGTTAAGATGGCAAATGTCTTCACTTTTTCAGCTGCCTAGTAAAACAAGGGCGCGCAGTTTTTCTGGGGCAAAGGCTAGCCAGGGGTTTTCAGAACTGAGTCCAAATTAGAGTTCTGAAATCAAGGCAAAAACTAACCTTTTTTTTTTTTCTTTTCTTTTTTTTGCTTTCATTTCCATTTCCATTTAATTAAAATCAAACATAGGCATGTGACTACTCTTTAATTGTGTATGTATGGTATCTTTTTGTCCCGTTAAAAATTGCAGTGTAGTAACAACTTTTGGGAACTTTATTTAAGATGTTGGGGTAGCCTTGGGCCTCATGTTCTGCATTTTATGTTTGGAGATGTTTTCATCAGTGCATAGATTTGGGGGCCAGGGGAGGTAAGATTGAATGTAAAGCTAATCGCAGCTCCATCTCCTATTCATGCGTTGTTGCAGGACAGGGATTTCTTAATAATTGTGTGTCTGTATGCATGAGTTGCAATAGGGAATCAGGGTGATGGCAAAGGTTGGTCTCCTCTTCCTCACACCTCTCTTAGCCTCCCTCTGATTATTATGTTTAGGAAAAGAAAAATATAGTAAGATGTCCTAAGAATCATCACCCACATAACAGATAGCGTGGCCTGGATGGGCTTTAGGCTAAATGGATTGTCTTAAGGCAGGAGTGAGCTACCAGAACCCTCTGCCTAATTCCGTAGGGTAATCAACTTAATGGCAGAAGTGGTTTGGAAGAGATTTGTTGACCTCATCTATCTAACCCCTGTGGCTTCCCACAGTCCCATTAAATCCCAAGGGGAGGCATCATGATGAAATGCTGTCAGGTGGATTTTGAAAATCAGTGTGTAATGCAAAGCAACTCCAGAAGTAGTAACTACCATTACCTCCAGCTATAAAGTCAGTTTTGATACTCCACCAAGAGACATCCAGAAGAAGAGCTCGAGAAAATAGCAACTCTTTCACAGGGGGAAGAAAACAGTTGAGACACTTCAGAACAAATGTATTTATATCTCCCGATGCGTTTGGTGTGTTTACATGTGTTTTTTTTTTTTGCTCTTATGTCATTTCTGGTTGGTTTTTTGCTTTATTTGGTTTAGGTTTTTTGCTTATTTTTCTTTATGACAACGCTTTGTTTATTTGCAATGCTTTGTTGATCCCTTTTTCCAATAAAAATTTAGAAAGTAGAAGAGAGATTGCAAGGAGAGGGAGAGAGGAAGCTGTCCAAAAAGAACAGAAGGACGGGAAGTGCCATATCAGGGAGGAAAAGTGGGTGTTCCTATACCATTTGTCATTCAGCCCTACTTACCTAGTGGTGCTCTATGGATTACTTGGTGCCTTATAGTCCTCAACAAAAGAAGGGTTACCCCACACTGTCCTAGATGAGGATGTTCCTTTGAAATATTTCCACCTCAAGGTCTGACCTTGCTCAGCGGATGACTGTGATCTGTAGGCTTCTGTCTTCTCTGTTTGGAGCAGGGTGTCTAAGTTTATTGTTTCTGGCTCCGTCCTAAAGACCATGATGGGAAAAACAAAGGAGGCTCAACCCATTAAGACACGTCATGTTCTTTTAAATTCTGCTTCCTGTTTAGGCTTCATTTCCTTTTAACTGAGCCCTGAAGAGCATGCTTTCAATGTTGCTCATGAAGGAGAAAGAGAGACCACAATGGGAAGAGAACAAGGGACCCTGCCTCTTTTGACACTGTCTGTCTACCTCGAATAACAAAGTATTGCTTACCAAGTCCTCCGAGTCTCAGAATGATTCAGATGCATTCTTGAAATAACCCTGTTATGCTGGAGGATTTTGTCTACCTTTAAGAGGTCCTCTTATCCAACAAAGGTTATCTGGGGTGGAGGGGTCCTCTGCTCAGGATCCCTCGGAAGGATTTGAGTCATGGTGCACTGGCCAGGAATAGGACCTTCTCAATAGCAGTGTCCCAATCAGGTTTTTTTTTTCCCAGTGGTAAGGGAGCAAAATAGGTGGTTTCATTCTTTTTACTGAAGAATTAGTATGTATGTATATGTGTGTGTGTGTACATACATACACCCCCACACCCACACACACATACACACACACACACACACTTAATTTTATTATAGTCAGTAACCAAAGCAAAGTGCAATTGTAAAGAATTAGAATAAAATGAACTAAAACTTTGCAAAAAAAAAATTAAAAGAATAAGAGAATAGAAGACATCTAATAGACATAAATTCAACGAGGTACTAAAAATATCAGTCAAATTACTAACTGCTAAAATATGGAAGCAGTAAAATACTTAACCTTCTAATTCATGGTTACTGCATTTTTAAGACACTTAAGTGATAGCCTTCGGAAGATGAGCATGAATATATGAATGTACATTTTTTTGCTATCGTTGAGTGTTACTTAGCATCGTAAAATCATAAAATGGAAGTCTTAAAATTCTGTCCCATAAATTTCT